TACAGAGGCGACTGCTACATGGGAAGCTGAGAGCGGGTTAGGCACCCAGTGCGCCCTGGGGCTGGTTTAGGGAGCATGGTTGTCTCTCTGAATGGTCTGAGTTAGAATTGGGGCCACAGTTAATAAAGTTGGTAGTCAAAGACCAAGTTCAGACCATTCTGAGCCAATTACTGCAATGACTGTGTTTTATCCTGCAAGGCACATTGATGCAGGGGTTGTCTGTAGGTCAAAGTTTATTATCATAATATGCCAGTTTTGTTCATTTCTGTATGCAAATGCCAAGCCACGTTCAATGTCCTGTCAAAGACTAAACCACTGTTAGAATTGATATGAATTTTATCCTTTGCTGTTATATTTGTTCACACTAAAAAAGTTGGGAATGGGGCTTTAGTTAGACCCTGTCTCTCCAAACCAAGAACAGACTGGCACTTTTACATTATTAAGCAGCAGGCAGGACAAAACAATATGTTCAACCATTGGGGAAACAGTTGCATGTACACATACTAGCTAGTCTCTGCAACTGTGTGTAGGGTAATCATGAAGCAGGCGCAGTTTCTCAGCCTGAGCAAGCTAATGAAATAGTCTTAATGCACACTGTCCCCTTCTGTTCAGGAGCATGGCTCCTGTGGTGTCTGGTGGCAATTCATACTTAGGTTGTTTGGTTTTTGTTTTTTTTTTTTCCGCTAGAAAGTTAATATGATGTCACTTCTATTCACTTTGGCAACACAGCCCACTCCTGCATGGCTTCAGTTGTTTCTACAGAGATGGTGATGTCCTGCTGGATTCTCTAAGGGGAATTCAAGTATACAGCAATCTCTATGTCAGGCTCTCTCAAACTCTTTAGAGTTTCTAATTACATTTCTTGAATCAGAAAATAATAAACTGAATTTCCATTCATGTAACCTTCATTCCTAAAGAACATGTTGATTTTGAACTATCTTGGATATTTACAGATTAATTGTAGAGGAAAAAAAAGACATTAAAAAAAAACTACATAGGGTTTATCATGTGGCTCAGAGGAGGTAAAAACAGAATGTAATGAATGTGCTGAATGCCAAGAGAGACTTATCAAGGAGATAAACAAAGACTGCAGAGAGGTAGTGCTTCACGCCTAAGAGGACCACTGTAATGAAAATGTTAGGTGATAATTTTAAAACTCTAGTGAAACATGTTGGTCAAGTAATATAAACTGGTACAATCTGGAAAATGATCCATTATTTCCTCAAAAATTTCAGCAAAGAGTTGCCAGTTGATCCAGCAGTTCTGTTAGGTACTGAAATAAAAACATATCTGCACACAGAAATCTGTACAAGAATACTCATGGTCAAACACTGGAAACCCAAATGCCCATTAATAAGTACATTTAAAACTATAACTGTATGACAATAGTTATTCATAAAAAGCACAATGTACCTGAACTTTGAAAATAGTAAGTGAAGGAAGCCACACACAAAAGACCACAATTGATGAGATTCCCATCAGGAAATGATGAGACAGAGACATAGGATAGAGTAGGGACTTACAGAGATGGAGATACACTTTCAGTTTTGGGCCATTTCCTTGAGATATTAAAAATGTCCTAACTTTGTGCTGTTTGTGTGTTCCTAAAAACCAATGAGTTCCACACTTGAAATGAGTGGAATGGATGGTATATGAATTAAAAGTTTCAAAAAAATCTCCAAAAATGTTCAAGTTTGTAGTCTAGGAATTTGGGTTCAAATTACTGTCTTTGTGATACTATGCTGTTTTTTAATCTTGAGACTTTTTTTAAGCCTATACAATGTAGCCATCTGTCCTAGATAGAATTGTTATTACTCTGATGAAACACCACGACCAACAGCAACTTGGGGACGAAAGGGTTTATTTGGCTTATACTTCAACATATCAAGGAAGTCAGGACAGGAAGCTGGAGGCAGGAGCTGATGAAGAAGCCATGAAGGAGTGCTTCTTACTGGCTTGCTCATCACTTGGGTCTTCAGCCTGCTTTCTTATTTAAAAAAAAAAAAACACCAACCAGCCTAAGCATGCTCCACCCACCATGGTCTACGCCCTTCCACATCAATCATTAATTGAAAAGAAGCCCTACAGGCTTGCCTACAGTGTGGTCATATGGAGGAATTTTCTCAACTGAGGCTGTCTCTGCTGACTCCAGCATGCCAAACTGACAAAGTTAGCCAGCACACCACGTAAGATCAAAGGCTTTGGAATTTGAAAACTGTATTAATAGTTGTCTGTGTAAATTTTGTTTAACCTATTTTCTATTTTTTTGTTTAACCTATTTCTATTTTCTAAACCATAAACTGAAAAGAACAGAGTTGTTCTATTCAGGTTTTCGGCCAGGGCTCCTGGTAAGAGGGGGTAATACATGAGACAAAATCCACATTAAACGAGTTATCAGTGTGGCTGTTGCCAGAAGGAACAAACATGCCTCTGAGCAAAGCACAGTGCACATGACTGCACTGAAGAGAATTCCTACAAGTTCATCTTAACAAGTAGCCACTCCTTGGTTGGCTCATGGCCAGGAGCATGGCACATCTCAAGTAGCCACTCCATGGTCAGCGGTGCTGAGAGAAAAGGCTTAACTATCCGATCAGTGCCCAGGAGCTGTCTGGTGATGGCTCAGATGGCCCATTTTCTGGTGACTTTAATATTGCTGTGGCTTTAAGGCATGGGTTTGCAAGAACCAGAGGAGAAGCCAGTAAGAGGAACCCATGGGAACATACATAAGGGAGAAAATTCTTCTGGTGAAGAAAAGCCCAGAACTCTTTCTCTGGTGGCAGGAAGAAAGAAAGAAAGAAAGAAAGAAAGAAAGAAAGAAAGAAAGAAAG